GTGTTGTGATGTGTAGTGTGGTGTGTCTGTCTCTCTCTCTCTCTCTCTCTCTCTCTCTCTCTCTCTCTCTCTCTCTCTCTCTCTCTTTCTTTCTCTCTCTCTCTCTCCATTATTATGCATACATTAATATATCTACACTTTGCGTATCATGTCCAAAAAGAACGAAATACTACTACTCTTGTGACGTCATTCACAACCAAAGAAACCACTCACGTTGAGCAGGACGAAGCTGTAGACTGGGGGCACATGACACACCAGGTTCAGCAGCCAGAAGATGAACAGAATGAACGGGGACGCGATCCCCGCCCTCCGACAGCTCCGGCTGAGCCAGGCTGCCAGCAACTGGCGTTGAGGAAAGTGGATCAAGATCTTTATCAATTAACACGGCACAAGATAATATGTGGTCATTTTTAAGAACAATTTGGGGCTATCCCGAAAAAAAATGCTGTTTTGAGGAAATCGAAGGTAAAGTTTTTGACCCCAGTTCAGTTTCTTTAAAAGATAAGGAGAGTTTTCTCTATAACCAAACAAATATTTACACCAATGAAACCAAACGTCTCCTATAGGTAGGGTAATGCCCACTTTTAATGTAGGTCAAGATTTCTGGAAATCTTCGAAATTTGGGTTAGCCCGCTTGTCCTTAAACTTAAAAGCGACCACGTAACAGTTATACGTTATAACAATTATGTACGTAATACACGGTTGGACACTATCATATGCACATTTTTCTACTAATCAGATGGCGTCAATATCATAGAAATGGGCAAGGAACAAAAAAAAAATAACCAAGGCACAAGCCAACCACACACAAGTTCATTTTAATAGACCTAGGCCATTTCCAAAAATCATATCAATTAATGAACCAAATGTATCATTATGCAGACAGACAGACAGACAGGTAGGCAGGCAGGCAGGCAGGATGAGAGGGAGAGATGACAGAAGGGGATAAAAAAGAGGAAATGGGGATATGTACTGCAGCTATCGGGATATAGGAAGCCCTTGTATGCCATTCTAACGAATGACCGCTAGATCTAGTTCACAAACAAAATAAATGTTTACTGTTGAAAATTATAATGTAGTTCTGACAATTTTACATCACATAAAAATTGAAAACTGCAACAAGGGAAGCTAATAATATATAAACAAGCACAACTATCAAGGACTACTGCTCTCCCCTCTGAAAAGAGGAAGTAAGTACGAAAAAAAGAAAGCACGAAAGAAAGTAAAAAAGAAAGAAAGAAAGAAAGAAAGAAAGAAAGAAAGAAAGAAAAAGAAAGAAAGTAAGAAAGAAAGAAAGTAAGAAAGAAAGAAAGAAAGGACTGTATTGTGCGGAAGTGGGTGCATTCAAAATTGTCTACATTATGATAATGATTATTATAAATACATTTTTTACAATGACTTGACAGCAATCTGTGTTCAAAGGAAGGACTTCAAGTGCATGATGTAGACTTTCGAAGAAGAAGAAGAAGAAGAAGAAGGAGAAGAAGGAGAAGGAGAAGGAGGAGAAAGAGAAGGAGAAGATGAAGAAGAGGAAGAAGAGGAAGAAGAAGAAGAAGAAGAAGAAGAAGAAGAAGAAGAAGAAGAAGAAGAAGAAGAAGAAGAAGAAGAAGAAGAAGAAGAAGAAGAAGAAGAAGAAGAAGAAGAAGAAGAAGAAGAAGAAGAAGAAGAAGAAGAAGAAGAAGAAGAAGAACAACAACAACAACAACAACAACAACAACAACAACAACAACAACAACAACAACAACAACAACAACAACAACAAGAGCAATAAGAACAAGATCAAGAACAAGAACAAGAAGAAAAAGAAGAACAAGGATGTAGTTCATTCCAATATAACGGCTACCGACCGCCCTCCACCCCTTTCAATACCTCCCCTAACCCCCCCCCCCCCCCAAATTGAGGCCGACCATGAGGACTCACATAAGTGGCAGCCAGCACAGAGCAGGACACATAAAGAGGGGTGCGCGAAGCCGTCTCGTGGTTCTCGTTCTGAAATGTGACGAAGAACTGCCGCAGCGTCAGTACTGTCAACAGCAGGAAGATGAACTTGGTCAGGGCAGAGATAGATGAAAAAAAAAAAGATTAAAGAATTTAAGAATTAAGATAACACTTTATTATCCGAGAAGAGAAGTATTTCGGGGCTGAGAAAAACCGTAAAAACACCTGCGAGAAACATTAAGTTTAGATTATATATTACTCCCAGTGAAGTCCAATGAAAAGAGAGGAAAGCTGAAAAAAAAGTGCGGATCAAATAGATGACCCTTCACCCCAGGCAGGGATTTAGATCAGAGAGCTTTGGACGCGATAAAAAATATCTCAAGGAGCAAACACCGGATTTTAATTTGGACACCCCATATGGGCGGGTAAAAAAAAACCTTTTAAGCTTTCCTTTTTCTCCTTTTTTTCCCTTTTTTATGAAAAAAAACCGTTTGCGGCGGCTGCACACTTTCATTGACACCCCGCCGCCACGCCCACGCCTCCGCCTAGCCGGGTAATGTGTTTTTCTTTATTTTAAATTATTTTAGGATGGTTGTACTTATTTTTATTTATGTTTGTGGATTTTTAAATATATTTGGGTTTTCTTTGTCGTTATTCTTTCTCTTACCTTATTTCTTCTTATTTTTTTTTTTGTTTTTGTTTCTTTTCTTT